TGGGGTGGGGTGGGGTGGGGTGGGGTATAGTATATACCTGATATTTAAAAGAATAAAGTTAAATATCTGATTTTGAAATGGAAAGTTAAAAATTAGAATGTGTGTAGTTTCCTCATAATTAATTAACCGCTGGACAATGATTTCATGAAAAAGGTGGCCTTGAAGAAGTCCAAAAGCAGCCACCCGCCGTCTCCTTAACGTAGCTTCAAAGCATTACTACAGCCCTAAAAAATAATGCAATTTACTTTCCCAAGTTTAGTGTGTATAAATCAAACGGAACCTCACATCCTTTTCCTGTAAATTTCCTATAAAACAAGTCACCAATTTCCAAACCCTCAATTTATACCCCTTACTTTAGCACTTTCTTCTCCCCACCACCAAACTTGTTTGCCTTCTGATTCTGGTTCTGTTTCCATTTGCAAGTAATTTCACATTGTTTGTAGGGTTGAGTGATCGATTGTTATTTTGTGAAATTCATATCAATCGCTCATACTGTTGTTTGGGTTTCGATATTTGATCGGATCTGAGATGACGGAGGAACAGAAATGGCAGGAGCTTGTTGGAGAACACCGGCTATGCGCAAATAGTTGTGGCTTTTTTGGTAGCCCTACAACTCTTAATCTTTGTTCCAAGTGTTATAAAGATCATTGCATCAAGGAAGGGGAAACGAGAGAAGCCAAAATCGCTATGGAAAAAACATTCAATCAATCGGAATCTTCTTCATTTTCAACTTCTTCAAGGCCAGAATCAATTAATTCGACAATTAATCCGCACATAATAATAGAGAAGGTTCCGATTTCCACCGAAGCGGTGGCGAAAACTGAAAAACCCAATGTTGCAGTGGCTGTGGTGGCGCCGCCGCAGATTAAACCTAATAGGTGTGCCGGTTGTCGAAAGCGCTTGGGTCTCACGGGATTCAAGTGCAGGTGTGGAGTCATGTTTTGTGGATCCCATAGGTCTCCCGAACGACATGATTGCACGTTTGATTACAAGCAATTGGGGAGGGAAGCCATTGCCAAGGCCAACCCTATCATCAAGGCTGAGAAGCTCGACAAGATCTGAGCCATTCTTTTCATTGGTTATGAATGCATGGGCTCTGCCGTCCGATCAAACTGTGGACATCTGTATGGGTGACGTAGATTAATGGCTTTAGCTGCTCATGTCTAATCATGTAATAATAGAATTCATTACTTTACTCAGGACTGATTTTTAATTTTCTGTGCAATTAAATCCCTTTAATTCTTTCCTTTATTCTTAACTATAAAGGCAAAAAAAATGAAAAGTTTCATGCATTTTATGGTTTAGACAGAAGGCCAAAGTTTTTATGGACTTTTTAATTTTTCTTATTGAACTGGTGAAATTTCTACCATTAATGGCAGAAGGGAAAAGGCAGTTTCTCTGAATGCAATAAACTAGAATGAAATTATTGTGGTGATGAAGAGGCGAAGAAGGCAGTTTTTCTAAAATTCTAGTAATTCTATACGCACTAGGAAAAAACCACGGGGGAAAGGAGAAAACCGCTTGGTTTATTTTCGTCATTTTCCTTTTATATATTTAATTTTTTGTTTTTTTTAATTCATTTCCAATTTTTTTTTTTTTTACATATTTTATTATACATTCATTTGATAAAATTGTCACAAAACGTCCCTACCTTTCGAGTGTATTGTGAAAAACGTCCATATCTTTTATTTTTTGACATTTTTACCCATATTTCCGTATTTCTTTGCATCGAAGGTTCTTTTCACTGTTTTTTGGGTGTAAAATAACCAGTATGCCTTCCTCTTTAAATAAAAGAAAAAAGAAAAGAAAAGAAAAAATTGCAACTATAGGCGAAACTTCTAAAAAAGTGCAAATGCCCCCCCCCCCCCCCCCCAAATCCACCCCACCTCCCCCCCCACCCCCCCCCACC